CAGAGTCACGCTAGCCGTCACTGTGCCTCTGGATATAGTCCAATCAGCGTCATGTCACGTTCTGTGGAGTACCGCCTCTTTTTGGGCGATTTCACTCCGGCTGAGAATCGCCCCGAGTGGCCCCATAGATTTACATTCAATGATGGTTTTTTTTCGAACGGGGGCGCTCCAATGCATTCTCTACGGCTTCCGGGAGGGCTCGCCCTAACGTGCTTACGTCATCATACGTAAGCACGTTTCATCCAACAATATAATTTGTCGCCACCTAGTGGAATCTTTAATAAAAGAAACTTGAGTGGATTGTATTAATAGTGAGTATAGAAACAAACAAGATGTATTGTAAGAGTCACTTTATTTTTCATTAATATTAAAGAAGTGAAGTTGCCTTTACATGCTTAAGCTGTTAATTTATCCATTGCATGGGTGGACCTTATCCTTATCAATCATCCAGACATTTGCCCCCCCTGAGAGATTTTGCAGGAGCCGCTACTGTCGACGACATTACTCACTGATACGCAACGCGATATGAGTTCCTGACTAACACAAAACGCACACAACCCACTAATACACACCGTCAAACACGTAACCGCGTGGTTGGTGTTCGTGTTTCTGGATGACCTTTTGGGAGGCTTGCATCTTGACCTTTTTTGCTCGTTTGATCATGGAGTTACATTTGACCTTTGTGATTTCATTTGGGTGCTGTGCGTGTTGTCACTTAATGTGAAATGTCGCAGTGTGTCTCAAAATATCACCAACAGGAAAGGCGGCCCAAATCTCACAATCATACACGCAAACACGGCCCCAATCTCGTAACACAATCTCACCAGAACAGGTTTTGATATTCGTAAGCTGGAATCGAACTCGCGTCGCCGGTCTTCGTAGCGCAGGACGCTAACCGCTACACTACCGCTCCCCACACGTACATACAAAGACAGACACAAAGACAGACACAAAGACAGACACAAAGACAGACACAAAGACAGACACAAAGACAGACACAAAGACAGACACAAAGACCCTCCGTGTAGCTTTAACAGGCTGTCGGGGCAATTGCTGTTAGCGAGCACCTATGAAGGCTAGCAGGGCACACGAGGGGGCGGGTGGGCCAGTACCACGCCCGGCCGCCTTTGTCTCCCCAGTGGCAATGCTTTCACACCGAACCAGGTGCTTAATTTGAGCTGAGTCGACCTAGGGGAGGCCCAGGACTGGTTCAGATAACTGTCACCGGTGTTGGCCGTGAGCGGGAATCGAACCCGGGTCGCCAGGTTCGTAGCACAGGGCGCTAACTGCTACACTAGCGCTCCCCACACACACTCGCACACACTCTCACAGACACCCCAAGGCTAGACAGGTGAGGGAGGCGTTCACCTTGGAACATTCCATTCCTCGGGAGGGGAGGGGAGGGGTAGACCGGGTCGCAACCACTGCCGTGCCATGCACCGCAGGGGGGGTGGGGGGGGGCATGGCTACAGTGGCAGGGAACATCACGTGACTCGGGGGGACGCTTTGAGTCGAGTGGGGCTAGGGTGTGGATCAAGGTCGGGGTTAGGGTTAGTGTCTGTGTGGTGAGTGTGGTTAGTGTGGTTAAAGTTAGTGTCTGTGTGGTGAGTGTGGTGAGTGTGGTTAGTGTGGTTAGGGTTAGTGTCTGTATGGTTAGTGTGGTGAGTGTGGTTAGGGTTAGTGTCTGTGTGGTTAGTGTGGTGAGTGTGGTTAGGGCTCGTGTCTGTGTGGGGAGTGTGGTTAGGGTTAGTGTCTGTGTGGTTAGTGTGGTGAGTGTGGTTAGGGTTAGTGTCTGTGTGGTTAGTGTGGTGAGTGTGGTTAGTGTGGTTGGTATGGTCAGGGTTAGTGTGGTGAGTGTGGTTAGGGCTCGTGTCTGTGTGGTGAGTGTGGTGAGTGTGGTGAGTGTGGTTAGGGCTCGTGTCTGTGTGGTGAGCGTGGTTAGGGTTAGTGTCTGTGTGGTTAGTGTGGTTAGGGTTCGGGCTCGGGTTCACGTCTCTTGGCTAATAAATCGTGTTGCCACCTGTCCGGGTTTTACGCGGACAGCACACAGGAATTGGCGTATGTGTTCGGCGGGCAGGAACTGATTTGTACCAAGATCTGGTAACGGGCGTTTGCGTTAATATTTCTCTTAAGAAGTCGCACAGTTCCGATAAGAGACCTTGGACTGATTAATACAATTATGTCCGGGGTTTGGTCTACAACGGAATAGGCAGAAACTTTACGCACAGCGCAAGCTACAGGGGGGCAATCCTTCCAATTCCGCGGAACGAATTTTATCTCTTGAGATGAGGAGGGGGGCGAGGTCGTTGTCTTGATGTCACGTACAGCAAGCATCCTGCACCGTGACCCTCCACTCTCCATCGCAGGGCCGCTTGGGAGGTCATCCCTACGCGGCGATGTATCCGGTCTCAGGCACACGGTTCGTTCCTCGCACCTACCCGGGCAGATGGCAGCGTCAAGCAAAGCCACTCACGAGGGGAAGGGGGTGGGGGGCTAGGGGATTAACAACTTCCAACCTCTTGAGGTGTTCTAGATTTGAAGCTTTCGTGACTGCAATGATTCATATTCTTAGGTTTTTTTCGGTAAAGGCACGTAGGTAAAAAATTAAAATTAATAAAAAATAAAATAAAATAAAAATAAAAATCACGACGTTTCGGAGGCAACACAAGCTTCCGTCTTCAGGTGGAACCGTCACAGCACCTGAAGACGGAAGCTTGTGTTGCCTCCGAAACGTCGTGATTTTTATTTTATTTTTATTTTATTAATTTAATTGTTTTACCTACGTGACTCTTGAGGTGTCTCATTAAAGATGCCCCCACCCCCCTCCTCTTTTGCGCCGTTGCGTGGATGTTGCCCGGGGGCTGAGTTGATTCTCCCAAGATCGCACAGAACGTGTCGAGAGCAAATGTGGCGGGCCTCACACGTGAAATGAATCGTCTCAGGACAAATATTAAATCCCGCGTAGCCGTCAATCGGCTCCCGGGGGAAGTGGCTGTGAGGGAGCTACGGCCAACGCGGCACACGAGGGTGACCAATAGCACGCCCAGCCACCTTTGTATCCGTAGTGCCGGTGTGTAAACGCCGTGCCAGGTACACATTTTTTAAGGCTGGGTCGACCTAGTATAGGCCCAGCACCGGTTGGAATATTCGCCACTGGTATTGGTCGTGAGCGAGACTCCAACTCGGGTCACCGGGTTTGGAGCGCTGTGCGCGAACCGCTACACTTACCCCTCCATGCAAATGCAAACATCCCCCGTGTAGCCTTCACAGACTTTCGGGGCAAGTGCTGTTCGCCAGTGGCAAGCATCTAGAAAAAGCCGGGCACGGCACACGAGGGGGTGGGTGGCCACAGCAACCACGCTCGCTCTCAACGTCTCTCGAATCTCAAACTCACAGGCACACACACTCACCCAATCTCATACACTCACGGCCACTCTCAGATAATGGACAATGACACACCACGCCTCTCAGACAGTTGCACAACAGTCGCAAGAGCAGTACGTCTTACACAAAGACAAAGATCCCCCAGGCAACCTTGGCAGACTTTTGGAGCAAGTGCTGTTAGCGAGCACCTATCAAGGTCGGCACTGCACACGACGGGGTGGGTGGCCAGCACCAGGCCCGGCCGCCTTTGTCTCCCAAGTGGCGATGTTTGCACACCACACCAGGTACTCATTTGAGGCTGAGTCGACCTAGGGGAGGCCCATGACCGGTTTAGACAATCGTCACCGGTGTTGGCCGTGAACGGGAATCGGTCTTGGGTCGCCGGGTTCGTAGCGCAGCGCGCTAACCGCTAAACTGCCGCTGCCTACACACACACAAAGACACTCTTACACTGACAATTGCACACAGCTTACATTAAAACTCCCACTCTCACCCACTCTCCCACAGTCTCACCACACACTCTCACACACTCACAGTCTCACCCACACTCTCTCACAGTCTCACCACACCCTCTCACACACTCGCCCACACTCTCACAGTCTCACCACACTCTCTCACACACTCACCCACTCACCCACACACACCCACACTCTCACCACACTTTCTCGCACACTCACCCACACTCTCTCACACACTCACCCACTCACCCACACACACCCACACACCCCCACACCCACACTCTCACCACACTCACCCACACACTCACCCACACTCTCACAGTCTCACCACACTCTCTCACACACTCACCCGCTCTCCCCAGGTCTCAACCGCACTCTCTCACGCACTCACCCACTCTCTCACACACTCATCCACACTCTCTCACACACTCACCCACACACCCACACTCTCACCACACTCTCACAGTCTCACCACACTCTCACACATACTCACCCACCCACTCTCCCTAGGCCTCAACCACACACTCTTACACACTCACCTACACACTCACCCAATCTCCCCAGGTCTCACCCACACTCTCTCACACACTCACCCACTCTCCCACACTTACCCACACACCTACACTCTCACCACACTCTCACAGTCTCACCACACTCTCTCACACACTCACCCGCTCTCCCCAGGTCTCAACCACACTCTCTCACACACTCACCACACTCTCTCACACACTCACCCACCCACTCTCCCTAGGCCTCAACCGCACTCTCTCACACACTCACCCACTCTCTCACACTCCCCCACACACCCACACTCTCACCACACACTCTCACACACTCACCCACACTCTCTCACACACTCACCCGCTCTCCCCAGGTCTCAACCACACTCTCTCACACACTCACCCACACACTCACCCACACTCTCACTCACTCTCACACTCTCTCACACACTCTCACACTCTCTCATACACTCACCCACACACTCACCCATACTCTCTTACTCACTCTCACACTCTCACCCACACTCTCACAGTCTCACCACACTCTCTCACACACTCACCCACACTCTCTCACACACTCACCCACCCACTCTCCCTAGGCCTCAACCGCACTCTCTCACACACTCACCCACACACCCACACACTCACTCATACTCTCTAACTCACTCCTACACTCTCACCACACTCTCTCACACACTCACCACACTCTCTCACACTCTCACCCACTCTCTCACAGTCTCACCACACTCTCTCACACACTCACCCACACTCTCTCACACACTCACCCACCCACTCTCCCTAGGCCTCAACCGCACTCTCTCACAGTCACACTAACCCACTCTCCCCAGGTCTCAACCACACTCTCTCACACACTCACCCACACTCTCTCACACACTCACCCACCCACTCCCCCTAGGCCTCAACCGCACTCTCTCACACACTCACCCACACACCCACACACTCACTCATACTCTCTTACTCACTCCCACACTCTCACCACACTCTCTCACACACTCACCACACTCTCTCACACTCTCACCACACTCTCTCACACTCTCACCCACACACCCACACTCTCACCACACTCTCACAGTCTCACCACACTCTCTCACACACTCACCCACACTCTCTCACACACTCACCCACTTTCTCACATACTCACCCACCCACTCTCCCTAGGCCTCAACCGCACTCTCTCACCCCGCCCACGGAAACGAGGCTGATGTGTGTCTCATTCCTCCCACTTGACTCTCGCCCCGTACTCCGCACAGCCTCACGCTCCGTGCAACTCCACAAACGCACGCGCAGGTAGCCACAGGCAGACAAGTCGAGAAGCCAGACAGACGGACTGCTTGATAGGCAGGCAGACAGGCAGGTAGACTTACAGGCAGCCAGTCACACCGACATTTGACAGATAAGACAGGCACACGAGTAGACGGCTTAACAGGCCAGCCAGGTGTCAGGACTGTCATTTGACAGGCGGACAAATAGTCAAGTTGACAGTCAGACTAACAACACGGCCAGCTTGACTTCTGACAGATAGACTGTCGGGCAGACACGTAGACAGGCAGACTAACAGGCAGCTACACAGACAGGCAGGCAGGCAGACTGTCCGTGTGTGTGTGAGAGAGAGATTTAGTGAGCGTGTGCGTGACCTATGCTGCTGGAGGCTGCGCATTGCATTCCTCGGCTGTGCGGCAGAGGCAGAGAGAGAGAGAAAGAGCGGCTCGGTTACAGGTGAGCCCAGCCTCTGAGTGGCGGCGATGAGGCTGTACCTCGCCAACAACACACAGAACCGCACCTCCGAAGGTAAGAGTTGGACTCCTGCACCCTGGCGGTTGATGTTTGTGGATTGTAACGAAGAGCGATGGGTTCTCCATGAACCCCTTGGTTGTGTTTGTGTTATAATTGTTTTTTTACCCTTTTATCTGGCAACAAAACTGACACCTTTTTAACGAGGAGTCATGTTTGCATAGACCACAATACCTGCAGTCATAATGCAAAAAAAACATAACTCTGATAATGTATGCACTGTCCTTGAAGTTCATTGGTCCACACCGAGACAGCTTTCCTTAGAGCCTAGTCTCACATGGGTTGCCAGAAAAATGGTAAAAAAACAATTATCATATTTTTTACTGGCAAATGAGGTACCAATGGAGTGTTTGTGTTGTGTGTGAGTTCGATTCCTGACCACGGCGGACGGGAGCGGTGGTTGTCCGATACAGGTTCCGTGCCACCACTAAGTCGACTCAGCCTTGATTGAGTGCCTTCTGCGGGGATGTGGAAACATCGGCACCGGGGAAACAAAGGCGGTCGGGGAGCGGTTCTGGCCACCCACCTCGTACTGACCCTCCTAGGTGTTGCTCGCTAACAGCACTTGCCCCGAAGGTCTGGTCAAGGCTATACGGGGGGTCTTTGTCTCTGTATGTGTTCATTATGTCTATAATCTGGAGACGTTAAACCTCGCTCGCCACACAGTTCCTGTATCGTAAAAAAAAACACGTGGCGACTGTATATCTCGTGACCGAACGAGTGTGTGAACTCAGTCGCGTGCCTTGCGTGTGTCTGTGTGTGTGTTTGTGTGTATGTGTATGTGTGTATGTATGTGTGTGTGTATGTGTGTGTCTGTGTGTGTATGTATGTGTGTATGTGTGTGTATGTGTGTCTGTGTGTATGTTTGTGTGTGTATGTGTCTGTGTGTATGTGTCTGTGTGTATATGTGTTTGTGTGTGTGTATGTGTGTGTATGTGTGTATGTATGTGTGTGTCTGTGTCTGTGTGTGTGTTTGTGTGTGTGTATGTGTGTCTGTGTCTGATAGGCCTCTGATAGGCCTCTCCCCTCATGGCGTCTGTGACCACCACAGTGGCTAAACGGGGGCTCTGGACGGGTGTGAGGGGCTGGTAACCCCTCCACCTTCAATTCATTACCACTAAACCACGAATTAAACATAAACCTGTAACAAATAAGCTTGTGCCGGAGGCCCCGGGGGGTCAGGCTTTTATGACGTCTCCTGGCCAAACCCCATTTGGCGGAGCCAGGAGATTGAATTTTCACCCTCGGGGCTCCTCCAGAAACAACAAAAAACCATTGCGGATGGCCACGTGGAATGTTCGAACGCTCACTGCGGAGGAGAGGCTGCCACTCCTCTGTCGGGAGCTGGACCGGTACCGCCTGGATCTCTGTGGCATTCAGGAGGTCCGGTGGACCGGTTCTGGCTCCTGCCACCATGAGGGGTGGACAGTCCTCTACTCGGGGCAGGAGACTGCCAAACAACAGGGTGTGGCTCTTCTTCTGAACAAAAGAATGAAGGGGGCGTGGGAGCGTGGCGGTGAGGTGTGGGAAGCTGTAAGCCCCAGGATACTTTGGGCTCGCCTTCCCATCAACCAGAGGCGAGGAGTGGTGGTCGTGGTTACTTATGCCCCCACCGAAGACGAACATCCGTGGAGGGATGCAAGCAAAGCCGATGAGTCAGACGCTTTCTATGACCTCCTGTCACAGGTGCTGGCTAAAGTGGCCACTCGGGACAGAGTCATCTTGTTGGGTGACTTCAATGCCCGAGTTGGTCATGATGCTGACACCTGGTCTGGAGTGATTGGAAGGCATGGGCCAGATCAGCTCAATAATAACGGTAGGAGGCTGCTAGATTTTTGTGCAGCCCATGGGCTTGTAATTACCAACACGCTCTTCCGGCATCGGCGCATCCACACAACATCATGGATACATGCCTGGTCCAAGCAAGAACATCTGCTGGACTACATAGTGACGGACCAGCGGATGCGAACCCATGTCCTTGACACCAGGACCTACCGTGGAGCTGATCTGTCCTCTGACCATCGACTAGTCATCTGTAAGATGCGCCTGCCTTTCTTCCACTCCGGTGGTGGGTGTACACCCAGGATCCCATTCCAACCAAAAGTGGCCTGGTCTCAGTTAGCTGATGAAAGTTGCAAGCGAGAATTTCATCATCGCTTGCAGCTGGGGTTGGCATCGTCCCCCACTCCACCTGATGTCGAGGGTAAATGGGCGAGGTTTAAGACTGTGACTCATGCAGCTGCAATGGCTGCTTTGGGTACGCGGTCCAGACCTCCCCAGAAACCCTGGCTGACAGAGGAGGTGTTCAGGTTAATTGAGAAAAAGCGACAGGCCCACTCTCATCGCCTACAGCATCCCACGTCAGAGAATGAGGAGGTTTACCGCAGCCTTCGCTCGGAAGTTCGGAGAGCCGTAAGGCGTTGTAAGGATGGGTGGTGGTCGCGGGTTGCTGAGGAGATGGAGTCTGCCTCAGTGGCCCGTGATCACAAATCACTATTTAACTCCATCAAAAAAGTAACCTGCAGCGCCACACCTATTACCATCATTAGAGGAAAAAACGGTGATCCAATCTCCGACCCCCAGGAACAGGTTTGCAGATTTTCTGAGCATTTCTGTGAGGTCCTGGGGGAGGGAAATTCTCTCAGCCAGGAAAACATCATGGCACAAAGTGGGGATAACCCTGCTGAGGCTGCGGTGCCTCAAATATTGGAAGAGGTCACCCCCTGTGAGTGGCTGGCTGAGGTTCCAGCTGTTGAGGAAGTACTGAGGGCGATCCGGAGTCTGAGACCAGGGAAGGCACCGGGCAGAGATGATCTCCCAAGCGAAATGCTGAGGGAGGGTGGCGTTTGTGCACAGACTGCCCTATATGACATCATAACAACAGTCTGGACCACTGGACGGGTTCCGCAGGACTGGAAGGATGCCCTGGTGGTCCCCCTCTTTAAGAAGGGGGACCGCACAGACTGTAACAACTACAGGGGCATCTCACTCCTCAGTGTGCCGGGTAAGGTCCTGGCAAGGATTATTCAACATCGCCTTGCTAGGCACGCTGAGGAGGGGCTTGCGGAGCCCCAATGCGGTTTCAGGAAAGGGCGGTCCTGCACAGATGCCATATTTTCTGTCCGTCTGCTACAGCAGAGGTGTAGGGAATTCCAAAAAGACCTACATCTCTGCTTTATTGACCTGGTCAAGGCCTATGATACCATCAGTAGGACTGGACTCTGGGTTGTTCTTCGTGCTTTCGGAGTCCCTGACCCTCTGCTCACGATCATTAAGGACCTTCATGATGGTGAGCGGGCCCGGGTAAAACTACGTGGCCGGGAGTCGGAGCCTTTCCCTGTACACCTTGGGGTGCGACAGGGATGTCCTCTGGCTCCCACATTATTTAACATCTATTTTGACCGCGTAGTTCGTGAAGCCTTCAATAGCTGTACCGGGGGAATTTCCGTTTGGTACAGATATAATGGGAGGCTGATCGACGCCCGGGTGCGATCAAGGGATGGCTCCCTATTGGTCAACCACGTTATGTATGCCGATGATTTGGTAATAGCTGCTCATTCAGAAGAGGAGTTGGAGGCGCTGCTGCTGAGACTGGAGCGTGCCACTAAGAGGTGGGGCCTTACCATCAGCCCCACCAAAACCAAGCACCTGCCTGGGTATTTTGTACCATCGGACACTCCACCCCCACAACTCCCAATTGGTGATGGGGCAGTTGTGGAGAGAGTGGAGAGTTTCCCATACCTGGGCAGTATGCTTATGACCGGCTCCAGTCTATCAGCAGAGGTCTCACTCCGAATCAGTCGAGCGGCAATATCTTTTCATCGGTTGCGTAACGCTGTGTGGAAGCTACCTGGTCTGTCGCTCCGCACGAAGCTTCAGGTCTTCTCGGCCACGGTCATTCCCTCCCTTCTCTACGCTTGCGAGACGTGGACCCCCCTGGTGGAGCATCTTCGCCGGTTGGAAACATTTAGGCTGGCCTGCCTACGATCCATCCTGGGTTTAACCAGGCTGGATTGTGTGAGGAGCTCACAAATCCTTGAAAGATCTGGGCAAAGTCCCATCAGTGAGCTCCTCCGGCAGGCAAGGCTGCGTTGGCTGGGTCATGTAGCCCGCATGCCCAGCCACCGCATGCCTAAACAGCTTTTGTTCGGCCGGATCGAGGGGGCTAGACGGGCGCGGCACGGGCTGGAGAAGAGATGGAGTGATGTGGTACAGGAGGACGTGGAGCTGAGTGGACTTGCCGATGACTGGTACCAGCGGTGTCAAGATCGGCCTCAGTGGAGGAGGCTCGTGAAGGACGCTACTGGGCAGTTGGAGGCAGTCGCCCTCCAACAACAACGGAGGGCGGAGGAGCGACGCTCACAATAACGAGCGGAGCGCCGGGTGGCTAAAGCACAGCAAGTTGGCACAGTAGGGGGCACAGGTGGTGCATCAGCCAGTCATCTCGGTCATCTCGGTCAGTCGACCAGTGGCACCTGGGTCTGCCCCGTGACCTCCTGCCAGCGGGCTTTCGACACTTCACGTGGCCTCAAGGTGCACTTGGCCTGGCACAAGCATCGTGGTGACGTCACCGCCACTTAGTGGCGAATGGCGGTTGTTGTTGTTGTTGTTGTGTGTCTGTGTGTATGTTTGTGTGTGTATGCCTGTGTGTATGTGTGTCTGTGTGTGTATGTGTCTGTGTGTATATGTGTGTGTGTGTACGTGTGTGTGGATGTGTATGTATGTATGTGTATGTCTGTGTATATGTGTGCGCGCATGTATGTGGGGAGCGGTGGTGTAGCGGTTAGCGCACCACGCTAACTTGGTGACCCCCAAGTTCGATTCCCGCTCACGATTATCTGAACAGGTACTGGGCATCGCCTAGGTCGACTCAGCCTCAAATGGCTACCTGATGCGATGTGTAAACATCGCCACTGGGGAGACAAAGGCGGCCGGGCGTGGTGTTGGCCACCCACCCCCTCGTGTGCCGTGCGGGCCTTCATAGGTGCTCGCTAACAGCACTTGCCCCAACAGCCTGCTAAAGGCTACACGGGGGATCTTTGTCTTTGTTTAACTGTGAAAGTACCGCCGTGTGTATGTATGTGTAGAGTCTGTATGTGCGTGTGTGGGTGTACGTTTATGTAACGTTGTATGCACGTTGTGTGCACGTTATGTGCGCGTGTGCGTTGTGGGTGTGCGCGTGTTAATGTTATTGTGCGAGTCATCACGCACAGGGAGCGGTGGCGCAGCGGTTAGCGCGCTGTGCTACAAACCCGGCAACCCGAGTTTGATTCCCGCTCACGGCCAACACCAGTGATGATTATCTGAACCATTCCTGGGCCTCCCCTAGGTCGACTCAGCCTCAAATCAGTACCTGGTGCGGTGTGTAAACATCGTCACTGGGGAAGAGACAAAGGCGGCCGGGCGTGGTGCTGGCCACCCACCCCCTCGTGTGCCGTGCCGCGCGTTTGATAGGTGCTCGCTGACAGCACTTGCCCCAACAGTCTGGTTCGGCTACACGGGGGATCTTTGTCTTTGTGTGAGTCATCACGGCCCTTGAGTGAATTGTGCCTGCGGACAGGGAGGTTGGTCGGAGTGTGGAAGGAGTGAGATGGTGGGTGGAGTGTGGCGTGGGGGAGGGAGTTGATGAGAGGGATGATGGGGGGGGGGGGTGACGAGGGGGGTGATGAGGGGGATGATGGGGGGGGGGTGACGAGGGGGGTGATGAGGGGGATGATGAGGGGGGTGATGAGAGGGATGATGGGGGGGGGGGGGTGACGAGGGGGGTGATGAGAGGGATGATGGGGGGGGGGGTGACGAGGGGGGTGATGAGGGGGATGATGAGGGGGGTGATGAGAGGGATGATGGGGGGGGGGGGTGACGAGGGGGGTGATGAGGGGGATGATGAGGGGGATGATGAGGGGGATGATGAGGGGGGTGATGAGGGGGATGATGGGGGGGGGGGGTGACGAGGGGGGTGATGAGGGGGATGATGAGGGGGATGATGAGGAGGGTGATGAGAGGGATGATGGGGGGGGGGGGGGTGACGAGGGGGGTGATGAGGGGGGTGATGAGAGGGATGATGGGGGGGGGTGATGAGGAGGATGATGAGAGGGACGATGGGGGGGGGGTGATGAGGGGGGTGATGAGAGGGATGATGGGGGGGGGTGATGAGAGGGATGACGAGGGGGGTGATGAGGAGGGTGATGAGAGGGATGATGGGGGGGGGGGGTGACGAGGGGGGTGATGAGGGGGGTGATGAGAGGGATGATGGGGGGGGGGTGACGAGGGGGGTGATGAGAGGGATGATGGGGGGGGGGGTGACGAGGGGGGTGATGAGGGGGATGATGAGAGGGATGATGGGGGGGGGGGGTGACGAGGGGGGTGATGAGGGGGGTGATGAGAGGGATGATGGGGGGGGGGGGTGACGAGGGGGGTGATGAGGGGGATGATGAGGGGGGTGATGGGGGGGGGGTGATGAGGGGGGTGATGAGGAGGGTGATGAGAGGGATGATGGGGGGGGGGGGGTGACGAGGGGGGTGATGAGGAGGATGATGAGAGGGATGATGAGGGGGCTGATGAGGAGGGTGATGAGAGGGATGATGGGGGGGGGGTGATGAGGAGGATGATGAGGGGGATGATGAGGGGGGTGATGAGAGGGATGATGGGGGGGGGGGGGGGGGTGATGAGGGGGATGATGAGGAGGGTGATGAGGGGGATGATGGGGGAGGGGGGTGATGAGGGGGATGATGAGGGGGGTGATGAGGGGGATGATGGGGGGGGGGGTGACGAGGGGGGTGATGAGGGGGATGATGAGGAGGGTGATGAGAGGGATGATGGGGGGGGTGATGAGAGGGATGACGAGGGGGGTGATGAGGAGGGTGATGAGAGGGATGATGGGGGGGGGGTGACGAGGGGGGTGATGAGAGGGATGATGGGGGGGGGGGTGACGAGGGGGGTGATGAGGGGGATGATGAGGGGGGTGATGGGGGGGGGGGGTGACGAGGGGGGTGATGAGAGGGATGATGGGGGGGGGGTGACGAGGGGGGTGATGAGGGGGATGATGAGGGGGGTGATGGGGGGGGTGATGAGGGGGGTGATGAGGAGGGTGATGAGAGGGATGATGGGGGGGGGGGGGGGGTGACGAGGGGGGTGATGAGGAGGATGATGAGAGGGATGATGGGGGGGGGGGGGTGACGAGGGGGGTGATGAGGGGGATGATGAGGGGGATGATGAGGGGGCTGATGAGGAGGGTGATGAGAGGGATGATGGGGGGGGGGGTGATGAGGAGGATGATGAGGGGGATGATGAGGGGGGTGATGAGAGGGATGATGGGGGGGGTGATGAGGAGGATGATGAGGGGGATGATGAGAGGGATGATGAGAGGGATGATGAGAGGGATGATGAGAGGGATGATGAGGAGGGTGATGAGAGGGATGACGAGGGGGATGATGAGAGGGATGATGAGAGGGATGATGGGAGGGATGGCGAGTGAGGCGGTGTGGGCTTGAGATGCTGAGGGAACGGAGCCTTGCGGCAGTAAACCTGCCCGGGCAGCTTCGCTTCTCCTTCACGAGATGAGGGTGGGGGTGGGGTGAGGGTGGGGTGAGAGTGGGGGTGAGGGTGGGGTGAGGGTGGGGTGAGGGTGGGGGTGAGGGTAGAGGTGAGAGTGGGGGTGAGGGTGGGGTGAGGGTGGGGTGAGGGTAAGGGTGGGGGTGAGGGTGGGGGTGAGGGTGGGGGTGAGGGTGGGGGTGAGGGTGGCGGTGGGGGTGAGGGTGGGCGTGAGGTGGGGGAGGGGTGACGGTGGTGAGGGTGGGGGTGAGGTGAGGGTGGGGGTGAGGGTGGGGGTGAGGGGAGATGGAGGGATGAAGAAGAGGATGGAGGGGGGTGCGAACCAGGGATTCATTTTAGCCGCGTCCATCCTGGTCGAGAACACGTGTCGGCGAGAACTTAATTCCTGGAAGATTGATGCGAGGGGTGAGCTCAAGCGAGGGTAGGCAGGGGGGGGAGAGAAGATGGAACTGATGGAGGGAGGCATTAAACGAATTGATGAAGACAGGGAGAGATATCTGTAGGGGTGGGAGACAGGGATTCAGAGGGAGGGAGACACGGGTGGAGAGAGAAGAGAGAAAGAGTGGGAGGGAGATTGAAGGAGGCGTTGGAGGGAGGGTTAGGGGACGACTCGAGGCGCGAGATCGCTTCAGCCGATAACGACGGCGCTTGGCAGAGCCACGGGTCGGGTGACATCACGCATCGAGGAGGAGGAGGAGGGGGGGGTCACGGAAAGTTGTCGAGACTCAGCTTGTGGGTTCATCGCCAGCCAGTCAGCCCATGGCACCAAGCCGGCTTTGTGTCTCGCGACACTCCCATCAATGAGTACCTGGTGCGGTGTGTAAGCATCAGCACTGGGGAGACAAAGGCGGCCGGGCGTGGTGCTGGCCACCCCACCGACGTACCGGCCTTCATCGGTGCTGCTGCTGCTACAGCAGGTTATTGTGTGTTTAGTCTTGTTGTCCTTCCCCGCACCTCCGATTAGCACGGTTGGCTACGTGCGGTGCGAAAGAAGTTCAACAAACAACAACAACACGAACGTCACCACGGCGCACACGCGAAAAGTATCCAACGCTCGCTGGCAGGAGGTCACGGGACAGACCCCAGCGGGTGCCATGGGTTGACCGACAGAGGTTCTGCTGGCTCGTCGATGCAACGCAACAACGCACGCACACTTGCCCCAACAGGCTGACAAAGGCTATTCTGGGGGTGGGGGATCTTTGTCTTTGTGATTCCACAGACGAAGTCGGATCGGAGAGGCCGCCAAAGCCGTCGCCTGCCCCGAATAAACCCGGAGTCCAACCCCCCGTGAAACCCAAACCCCCGCGCCCATCAAAGCCCCCGTGCCCAGCCGGGACACCGACGGCCCCCCACGGGACCCCGACGGCCCCCCACGGGACCCCCACGGCGCCGCTCGCCGTGCGGAGGGAGCTGGAGGAGCTCCGCACGCAGTTGGAGGCGCACGGCAGACAGAGAAGGTGTGGACGGGGTGGGTCCAAGAGGGGGGGTGGGGGGCAGGGTGTGGGCGATTGGGGGAGGGAGTGGGTGGGTTGTTGAGAATATACATTGAATGTTTTTTTTTGTGGTCATTTTTGTTATTGACCAGCAGCTTGCCGTGTAAACGTCATTTGGTCCCGGTCTCCCTCCAGTCAGCCAGCAAAACTTGCTCGTGAATATCGTGCGATGTGGGGCCCAGATTGACCCATCCCGCCTCCCGCGTGGTGCGCTAACCTTCTCTTCGCTCTCCTGGTCCACTCTCCGTGCGTCACATACTTGACTCCACTCCCCTTCGCGTGGCGGTGGAGCCCCCGGGTATAACGAACAGGTTGCCACGTTCATTAGAGTTAGCCAGGGTGAATAACGGCCGAGCGTTTGCCATCATCGGCTGTCGGTGGTGGTGGTGGTGGAAAAACAATAACGGCGAATCCTCGCCGAACGCACGGCCGGTGTTCAGGCTTGTAACGCCGTTCTCGCTCGAACACCACTCTCTTCCATGGGGGAACACTTTTCGCACAACGCGGAATGCACGCGCCGTTATAACGAGGAGCACACACTGCTATAACGAGGAATGCACGCGCCGTTATAACGCGGAACGTATTCCGTTAGAACGTGATTTCTGAGCGGTCGACAATGAACTACTTTCTTGAGCTGCATGGCTGAGCGGTACAGTGACACAGTTACGCGGCGATGCACCCTCGGTGATTTGTCCTGCCGTCTCTCTGGGCGCGTGCACCTAGTAGTAGCAGTCGTACATCGTATCTCGCCAAACTTGATCGTTACATTATTATCAGGGGCAACCGTTTTTGCGCATAGCGCGGCACTTTTCAGGAAGCGCATCTACTACCGCTACCAGCGTGTTCAACGATGACTCCCTGTGAAGGGAAGGGATGGAAGGCGCTCCCCCACCCCCTCCAAAACTACAGAGAGGCCCCCCCCTGGCCCCCCGCGTAGCTGGGTGACTCAGAGGTCTGAACGTTGACGAGGACACGCCGTTTGGAAAGGTCACCGAGCGAAGGGGTCATCATCTGAAAACCACCTCCACCCCCCACTGCCAACTCTGAACATCAAAACGTGCGACTCCTCGCTCGTCGCAGTCCCCCGTGGTGCGTTGACAGACAGAGTCCCGTAGACTCACACAGAGACCCGTAGACTCACACAGAGACCCGTAGACTCACACAGAGACCCGTAGACTCACACAGAGACCCGTAGACTCACACAGAGACCCGTAAACTCACACAGAGACCCGTAGACTCACACAGAGACCCATAGACTCACACAGAGACCCGTAGACTCGCACAGAGACCCGTAGACTCGCACAGAGACCCGTAGACTCACACAGAGACCCGTAGACTCGCACAGAGACCCGTAGACTCACACAGAGACCCGTAGACTCACACAGAGACCCGTAGACTCGCACAGAGACCCGTAAACTCACACAGAGACCCGTAGACTCACACAGAGATCCGTAGACTCACGCAGAGGACCCGTAGACTCGCACAGAGACCCGTAGACTCACACAGAGACCCGTAGACTCACACAGAGACCCATAGACTCACACAGAGACCCGTAGACTCACACAGAGACCCATAGACTCACACATAGACCCGTAGACTCACACAGAGACCCGGAAACTCACACAGAGACCCATAGACTCGCACAGAGACCCATAGACTCGCACAGAGACCTGTAGACTCACACATAGACCCGTAGACTCACACAGAGACCCGTATACTCACACAGAGACCCGGAAACTCACACAGAGACCCGTAGACTCGCACAGAGACCCGTAGACTCACACAGAGACCCGTAGACTCACACAGAGTCCCGTAGACTCGCACAGAGACCCGTAGACTCGCACAGAGACCCGTAGACTCGCACAGAGACCCGTAGACTCACACAGAGACCCGTAGACTCGCACAGAGACCCGTAGACTCGCACAGAGACCCGTAGACTCGCACAGAGACCCGTAGACTCGCACAGAGACCCGTAGACTCAAACAGAGACCCGTAGACTCACACAGAGACCCGTAGACTCACACAAAGACCCATAGACTCACACAAAGACCCGTAGAACTTAAACAGAGACCCGTAGACTCGCACAGAGACCCGTAGACTCACACAGAAACCTGTAGACTCGCACATAAGCCCATAGACTCACACATAGACCCGTAGACTCACACAGCGACCCGTATACTCGCACAGAGACTTGTAGGCTCGCATAGAGACCCGTAGACTCACACTGAGACCCGTAGACTCACACAGAGACCCGTAGACTCACACAGAGACCCCAAGAGACTCACACAGAGACCCGTAGACTCACACAGAGACCCGTAGACTCACACAGAGACCCATAGACTCGCACAGAGACCCGTAGACTCGCACAGAGACCCGTAGGCTCACACAGAGACCCGCAGGCGTGCACAGAGACCCGTAGACTCGCACAGAGACCCATATACTCACACAATGACCCATAGACTCACACAGAGACCCATAGACTCACACAGAGACCCATAGACTCACACAAAGACCCGTAGACTCGCACAGAGACCGGTAGACTTACACAGAGACCCGTAGACTCACACAGAGACCCGTAGACTCACACAGAAGCCCATAGACTCACACAGAGACCCGTAGACTCACACAGAGCCACTAGACTCACACAGAGACCCGTAGACTCGCACAGAGACCCATAGACTTTCATAGAGACCCGTAGGCTCGCACAGAGACCTGTAGACTCACACAGAGACACGTAGACTCGCACAGAGACCCATAGACTTTCATAGAGACCCGTAGACTCACACAGAGACCCGTAGACTCACACAGAGACCCGTAGACTCACATAGAGACCCGTAGACTCACACAGAGACCCGTAGACTCACGCAGAGACCCGTAGACTCACGCAGAGACCCGTAGACTCACACAGAGGCCCGTAGACTAACACAGAGACCCATAGACTCACACAGAGACCCATAGACTCACACAGAGACCCGTAGACTCACACAAAGACCCGTAGACTCACACAGAGACCCGTAGACTCACACAGAGACCCGTAAACTCACACAGAGACCCGTAGACTCACACAGAGACCCGTAGACTCACACAGAGACCCGTAGACTCGCACAGAGACCCGTAGACTCACACAGAGACCCGTAGACTCACACAGACACCCGTAGACTCACACAGAGACCCGTAGACTCACACAGAGACCCGTAGACTCACACAGAGACCCGTAAACTCACACAGAGACCCGTAGACTCACACAGAGACCCATAGACTCACACAGAGACCCGCAGGCGTGCACAGAGACCCGTAGACTCGCACAGAGACCCATATACTCACACAATGACCCATAGACTCACACAGAGACCCATAGACTCACACAGATACCCATAGACTCACACAAAGACCCGTAGACTCGCACAGAGACCGGTAGACTTACACAGAGACCCGTAGACTCACACAGAGACCCGTAGACTCGCACAGAGACCTGTAGACTCACACAGAGACACGTAGACTCGCACAGAGACCCATAGACTTTCATAGAGACCCGTAGACTCACACAGAGACCCGTAGACTCACACAGAGACCCGTAGACTAACATAGAGACCCGTAGACTCACACAGAGACCCGTAGACTCACGCAGAGACCCGTAGACTCACGCAGAGACCCGTAGACTCACACAGAGGCCCGTAGACTAACACAGAGACCCATAGACTCACACAGAGACCCATAGACTCACACAGAGACCCGTAGACTCACACAAAGACCCGTAGACTCACACAGAGACCCGTAGACTCACACAGAGACCCGTAAACTCACACAGAGACCCGTAGACTCACACAGAGACCCGTAGACTCACACAGAGACCCGTAGACTCACACAGAGACCCGTAGACTCACACAGAGACCCGTAGACTCACACAGAGACCCGTAGACTCACACAGAGACCCGTAAACTCACACAGAGACCCGTAGACTCACACAGAGACCCATAGACTCACACAGAGACCCGTAGACTCGCACAGAGACCCGTAGACTCGCACAGAGACCCGTAGACTCACACAGAGACCCGTAGACTCGCACAGAGACCCGTAGACTCACACAGAGACCCGTAGACTCACACAGAGACCCGTAGACTCGCACAGAGACCCGTAAACTCACACAGAGACCCGTAGACTCACACAGAGATCCGTAGACTCACGCAGAGACCCGTAGACTCGCACAGAGACCCGTAGACTCACACAGAGACCCGTAGACTCACACAGAGACCCATAGACTCACACAGAGACCCGTAGACTCACACAGAGACCCATAGACTCACACATAGACCCGTAGACTCACACAGAGACCCGGAAACTCACACAGAGACCCATAGACTCGCACAGAGACCCATAGACTCGCACAGAGACCTGTAGACTCACACATAGACCCGTAGACTCACACAGAGACCCGTATACTCACACAGAGACCCGGAAACTCACACAGAGACCCATAGACTCGCACAGAGACCCATAGACTCGCACAGAAACCTGTAGACTCACACATAGACCCGTAGACTCACACATAGACCCGTAGACTCACACAGAGACCCGGAAACTCACACAGAGACCCATAGACTCGCACAGAGACCCATAGACTCGCACAGAGACCTGTAGACTTACACATAGACCCGTAGACTCACACAGAGACCCGTAGACTCGCATAGAGACTGAGATTGGGGAAAGCGGCCGCACAGTGAGGGGGCCCGGGGCGCTGGGGGAGGGGGGGGTGAGCCCCCCCCCCCTCTCCTGCAGCGCCTCCGATCGTCCCATGAACAGTAAAGGTCACGAGCCATTCGCCGCCCACGCTCTCCGCCAGCCCCCCGTCCTCTCACCAATATCCCCGCTAGCGCTCCACCCCCTCACCAATATCCCCGCTAGCGCACCGTCCCCCTCTGCGTCACAAATATCTCGCTCTGCGTGCGGCCGCCTCTCCATCTTCTGGCTTTCAAAGCCTCCCCTTGTTTTTTTGCCATTCATGATTTATGTATAAGGGTGGGGGGATAGGGCGGGGGGGTGGGGTATGAGAGTTGGGGGGGGGGGCAGTTGCATCCTGCTGCGCCGTAATTGGTGAGCAGCGCGACGGCACTTCCAGCTCAGAGGTCGCCGGTACGATTCCATCTCGTGGAGAGGCAGTTGAAACGTCGACGCCAGTCATGTAGAAAAAAAAATTTTCACCCACGGCCATCCATGGGGGGGGGGGGGGGGGGGGCTGGGTGCGGGCCCCCCCAAAACGCGGGGCCCGGGACGGTCGCCCGGATTCGCCGTACCCCCCTCGAGACTTGCTCTGTCTCCGCTCGCTGTTTGTCGATGGGTTCGCCACAGTGAGTCTGCGATCGCGGCATCTCGCTCACGCGCGTGCGGCGGGGTAAAGCGTGGGTACTCGCACCTCCTCCGCCAAGCCGCTAACCGTGGAATGGTCCTGACTGTGCAGGCAGCAGCTTCAGCGATAGCGGCAGCGAGGGTTGGTGGATTACACGCACACAGATGATGCTGTTGTGAAACTCCCTTCTGGCCGTGGTCGCCTGCGAGGAGGCCGTACCTTGGCTGTGGCAGGAGAAGGCGCTGGAGCAACGTGCGGACTGATATATACTGATATATATATATATCTGTGTCCCTTCCATACGGGGATAGAGCGTTGCCCCCTCGCACGTGCGGGGTTTCTCCGCGTGCTCCTGTTTCCTCCAATTTGTGTGATAAACTTGAGTCATTATTAACGGGGCTGAAAACATCTTTAGAATGACAACGCAACAGCAGCAGCAGCAGCGTGGCCCTCCTGAACACGTACACCTACGACTCTCGTATAATTACGCACCTCCGATGAGCACGGTTGGCTATGTACGGTGCGAAAGAAGTTCAACACACATACATTATTATTATTATATTATTATCACTCGAGGGAGAGGAGGAGGGGCAGGGGGAGGAGGAGGGGGAGGAGGAGGGGGAGGAGGAGGAGGAGGGGGAGGAGGAGGAGGGGAGGAGGTGGGAGGAGGATGAAGATGAAGGGAGGGAGGAGGTGGGGAGGAGGAGTGGGGAGAAGGAGGAGGGAGGGAGGAGGAGGATGGAGGGAGGGAGGGAGGAGGAGAGGGGGGAGGAGGAGGGCGGGAGGAGGAGGGGAGGAAAAAGGAGGGGGGAGAAGGAGGAGGGGGGGAGGAGGAGGAGGGGGGGAAGGACGAGGGGGGGAAGGAGGAGAGGGGAAAGAAGGAGGGGGGGAAGGAGGAGGAGGTGGGGGGGGTAGGAGGACCCTTCTATCCAGCAGTGGCATTATACACCGCAGGCCTTGAGCGTGTCTCCCCCCTGCCCCCCCCCCCCCCCCCACCGTAGACTCGACGTGGCCCAAGCGACGCGGACGCTGCAGGAGGGACGCCGCTGCCTGGATTCGCTGTGGGTGAGTAGCCGTGCCCGCGTCTCCTCGGGTCACCATCCTCATCGCGGGCTCATCGGTGGCCGGCCACATGGGCCCTGGAATCCAGAGAGACGAAGTCACCACCTCGTTCTGTAGCTCGTCAACGGACTGATGGGGCGAGTGCAATTCGGTGGGTGGCCAGCAGCCATGCCCGACCGCATTTTCGTCTGCCCAGTGGTGATGTTTAGGACACACCGCACCGCGTGACTCATTTGAGGCTGAGTCGACCTAGGGGAGGCCCAGGACCGGTGTTGGTGACGCGCGGGCGCGAGTCGGGTTCGTATCGCTGTGAGCTAATCGCCACACTACCCCCTCTCTCCACACACACGCCCGATGATGCTGCATGTAATTACCAGCGAAACGTCGTACTCAGATTGTGAATGTTGTGGATTTACTCTTCAACACACCGGTGGGCTGAAGTAGTACACTACACTACACACTACACTATATACTACACTACACACTACACTACACACTACACTATACACTACACTACACACTACACTACTATACACTACAATATACACTACACTATACACTACACTATACACTACACTATACACTACACTATACACTACACACTACACTATACACTACACTAGTAAGTATTTGGTGCGTTTTATTTACGCGACAAATCCCTTACTGATTGGCCGTGTTGGATGGTGGAGGGTTACGGCACATTTATACTAACGCGATCTAACCCAAAAACCCGTATTATGAATAATATTGGTCGCGAAAGCCTACGTGTTAAACTGTACGTTTACTTCGATACCAGTAACAATTTTAAGGTATCAATCTGCTAAGTGTTTGGGATATAATGAGCTGCGGGTTACAGAGGGATTAATGGCAGATCGGGTAAATATAAATGTGTCGTTAAACCCGCCACAGACAATTAGTAAGGTTCGTCACGTAAACAGAACGTGGCCAATTCGTTGCCAGTACAGCACCACCGGTGTGTTGGAGAGCAAATCCACAACATTTACAATCTGAGTACGACGTTTTGCCAGTAATTACAATCGGAATAATGTGGTCACACCTCTCACTGCGACGAAGGCATAGGGGTCTGTAAATCCGCTTAACAATCTCATACATTATTGATTTGAAGCTTTCGTGACTGCAGGAATCCATACTCTTTGGTTATTTCGGTAAAGTCACGTAGGTACAAAAAATGATAATAGATCACGACGTTTCGATCGCAACACAAGCAATCGTCGTCAGGTGGGACAACCACAGCAAGAAAGAACTGCTGAAGTAGGCGAGAGATCTGCATCTGACTACCTCCACTTACAAAGTAGATGCGTTTCCTGGCGCTTCATTCCTATGCTGAAACGTCGTATACCGAGTGACTCGTAACATGAGTGCCACGGGGATGCGTTCCCCAGCCTTCGTGTTGTCCACCGAGCAGCGTAGAAGGGGTCCAACACCCTCACCACAGCGAGTCGCTCGGCAGGCAGATCGTGCGTGGTGGGGTAAAGTGTGGGCACTCATCCCCGCCGGTGTGCATCGAACCGCAGGCCGACGATTAAAAGAACACGGAACGGACGCTGAGCCGTGCGCAAAGCAGCATGGGTAGGTGGCGGTGGGGGATTGTTGCTTGGAATTCCACTGAGAGGCAAAACAAGGAACACGTGGATTGGAGAACAGACTGCAGGTTGGTAATCATGACATCATCATTAAATCATAATCATCATGACATTATCATCATGACATCATCATAACATCATAATCATCATGACATCATCATGACATCATACTCATCATGACATCATAATGACATCATAATAATCATAACATCATGATATAATCATCATGACATCATCAGCATAACATCATCATCATAACATCATCATCATGACATCATAATCATGACATAATCATCATGACGTCATCATGACATCATAATAATCATAACATCATGATATAATCAGCATAACATTATCATCATGACATCATAATCATCCAGGACGCGTCACGGCCAAAAGGTACGACGCTCGAGGGTGGTAATGGAGTGGGAACCAGGGAACGGAAGACGTCCTGGGAGGACGACCCACAGAGGAGATGGAGCCACGGTAATGAGCTCGCGATGCGCGCAGCAAGGGGGCCGGCTGGATCGCTACGTCGTGCGGTCCGCGAGCGATAGTGGAGCGAGGTGTTCGGAATCGGGAGGAATCGGATGAGCTTATAAAGCTCCAATTTTTTTTTTCACGGATGTCCAGCAAAGGGGCGGATTTGGCAAGTTCCAACAACAATTACAAAAAAAACGATAGGAGCGCAAAATAGAGAAGAAGCTAAAGCAAGTCACTAAATAAAAAATATACACAAATAAATACATTATATAAGTCAGATTTATTTATGCAAGCTTGGGCAAGGCAGCAGGACAACAACAGTCGCAGACCACACCAAGATTCAGACAATGAAGTGACAACTTAAAATCGCACTGTCGATGCAATGGGTCACGATCATCCAGCAGCGGGTCGAGCGTGGCCGACGTTGAGACAAATCGGCCGCGCGTCGAAATCTCGGCCCTGCTCCTTTGTCTGCAAAGCGGTCAACGTTGGATGAACGTTGCCCCGACGTTGACCCAACGTTGACCCAACTACTCCAAACGCATGCCAACGTTGGATCAACATTGGGCCAAGGGTTCCAATCGCATTCCAATGTTAGAACAATGTCAGCATCCGAGAAGAGACGGAGCGAGGAAATCAGCTCGCGCGTGCAGGAGCTGGCTGGATCGTTCCATCGGAGGATCGTGGTGACGGCTTGGAGAGGGCCTTCATCCAGCAGTGGACTGATGATGACTGATACTGATGATGCTGCTGCTGCGACTTACATTACTGCCGCTGCTTCTTCCACTGCTCCTACGAGTGCCGACGATAATGACACAATACCAATCCCGCTCCGGGCCCTTTGCAAACATTGACTCATTACCCCACACGGAATAGGCTCTCACGCCTCTTTAAGTGAAGGCCACCACCACTACCACCACCACATTGCGAGAGAGCCAACGGCAATGAGCCCCCAGCGCTCCGAGTGGGACCGCCACCGCTCACCGCCTCTGCTCGTCCCCACCCCCCCGCTCGCTCGCTGGGTCGCGGCGCCCAAACCCGCGACCTGCCCCGACCCCCCCAGGGAGATTTCAATTTACGACAATTGTTCCGACAAATCGCTGTGAGCTCCGTTGGGGTTGTGGGGGGGGGTGTGAGGGGCGGGTGTGGGCTCCCCCCTCGGGGCCCCCCCTCCCGCTGTCCATGGACCCACGTGCGCCAACACCCACACACCCCAACACACCCCGACACCCACACACCCCAACACCCACACACTCAAACACCTACACACCCACAAACCCCAACACCCACCCACACACCCCAACACTCACACACTCACACACCTCTTTTTGGAGAGCGGCGGTCGCGTGTGGTGCGTGGAGGAAGGGAGTGGAGTGAGATGAGAGGGGAGAGGTGAGAGAGAAGAGTGAGATGAGAGGGGAGAGGTAGGGAGTGCGTGGAGGAGGGGAGTAAGAGGCAGGGTGGATGATTCCATGGGGGATTCTGAAGACGTTGATGCAGATCACAATTAATAACACTGGCACCTCTGACCTAACTCAGGAATTGGGTCATTAGTATTAATGAGCAATTACAACTCATTAATATTAACGAGCTACATAATGATCCTGTCATCACCACCACCACCACCACCCCTACTGTCAATCACCAACATATTGCTATACCCGCGCGCCCTTCCAACTCCGAAACCTCTCACCTCATCACGTCGGCTCTCGCTCGCAGTGGAGACCACAATCACTTCTGTTGTTCTCTTGAGACACATGTTGATGGGGGGGTGAGGGTTAGAAGGGGGGGGGGGGTTACTTGTTCATCTCTTGCCTCTCGTGCTCCATGACGCCACTGTCTTGGAGCACACAATCCAAGTCCTTTGTGTCGTGACGCAGAGTGGTGCTGCTCAACGTGCCCGAGTCTGCGACGGCTACGGTAGTGTAGCGGTTAGCGCGCTGCGCTACGATCCTGGCGACCCGAGTTCGATTCCCGCTCACGGTCAACACCAGTTACGATTATCTGAACCGGTCCTGGGCCTCCCCTAGGTCGACTCAACCTCAAATTAGTACCTGGTGCGATGTGTAAACATCGACGCTGGGAAGACAAAAGCGGCCGGGCGTGGTGTTGGCCACCCACCCCCTCGTGTGCCGTGCCGGCCTTCAAAGGTGCTCGAAAACAGCACTTGCCCCTACAGTCTGTTAGGCTATAGGGGGATCTTTGTCTTTGTTGTGTGTGTGTGAGAGTTCACAAACTGATGCCGATCTTCTCGCTGTCCTTCTGCCACCCTGAGCCTCATCTCGCTCACTCTCGCTGCTTGCCCCCTTACACCTGGAATAAGCTCCCTCTGGATTTGAAGCTTTCGTGACTGCAAGGATTTCATACTCTTAGTTTTTTCAGGTAAAGTCACGTAGGTAGAAAAATGAAATTAAAATTAATAAAAATAAAATAATAAAAAATATAAAAAATAGAAAATATAATTTTAATTTCATTTTTTTACCTACGTGACTTTACCGACAAAACGAAGAGTATAAGCTCCCTCTCCACGTCCGACTCTCTCCCCCCCCCGTCGCTTCCCTCTATTCGCACTGCCCTCGGGTTTACGGCCCCATTCCCGTCCTATTCCGTCACCCCCCCAAACCAGCGCACCGCCCAACGCCCTCGGTGCCCTCCCATTGCTCCTCGCTCCCTCCACCCGAGTCACGACCCAATCCCCCATCCCTGATCCTTGTTGTTTGTGTACCGTCGTCAGCGAGCATTGTTAAGCGCCTTGGTGAAAGGGCGCTTTATTAATACAAAATGGAACAGAATGGATTCCTGTCCACGGCGAACGGCAGTGGTGATTATCCGAACAGGCTCTGTGCCGCCACTAAGTCGACTCAGCCTTGATTGAGTGCCTTCTGCGGGGGTGTGGAAACATCTGCACCGGGGTAACAAAGGCGGTCGGGTGCGGTTCTGGCCACCCACCTCCTCGTGTGCCGTGCCGACCGTCTTCGTAGGTGCTGCTCGCTAACAGCACTTGCCCCAGCAGCCTGTGTAGGCCATGCGGGTGACCTTTTGCTTTTGTGTGTGTGCGTGTGTGCGTGTGTGCGTGTGTGTGTGCGTGTGCGTGTGTGCGTGTGTGCGTGTGTATGTGCGTGTGCGTGTGTGCGTGTGTGCGTGTGCGTGTGTGCGTGTGTGTGCGTGTGTATGTGTGTGTGCGTGTGTGTGTGCGTGTGTGTGTGTGTGCGTGTGTGTGTGCGTGTGTGCGTGTGTGTGTGCGTGTGTGCGTGTGTGTGTGCGTGTGTGCGTGTGTGTGTGCGTGCGTGTGTGTGTGCGTGTGTGTGCGTGTGCGTGCGTGCGTGTGTGCGTGTGTGTGCGCGTGCGTGTGTGTGCGCGTGTGTGTGTGTGTGCGTGTGGGGCGTGTGTGCGTGTGTGCGTGCGTGTGCGTGTGTGCGTGTGTGTGTGCGTGTGTGCGTGTGTGCGTGTTGTGCGTGTGTGTGCGTGTGTGTGCGTGTGTGTGTGTGTGCGTGTGTGCGTGTGTGTGCGTGTGTGTGTGCGTGTGTGTGCGTGTGTGTGTGCGTGCGTGTGTGTGCGCGTGTGTGTGTGTGTGTGCGTGTGTGCGTGTGCGTGTGTGTGCGTGTGTGCGTGTGTGCGTGTGTGCGTGTGTTGATCTTGCAGGTGGAAGTGGCTAAGCTCCAGAGTAGCCTCCAGGCGCCGTGATTGCTCGGGCAGCCCTGGGAGAAGACACCAACGCAGCGGGATTGACAATCTCAAGTCCACACCAGATATGTATCACCTCCGGGGTGTGGGGTGGTGGGGGGGAGGCGCAGGAGGGGTGGGAGAGTTGTTCACACCAATAATTATCACGTCAACTCGGCATCGCAGAGAGAGAGGGGGGGGGGGGGACGACGACTCAGAGGTGCCAGGAGGAGGAACCACAGACGAAGAACCAGGAAGACAGCAGCAACAGCAGCGGCCTTCGCCACAGCGAGGAGCCGACGACAAATTCACACGCCCCCCCCCCCATCCTGCCCAAGCTCTGCCGTCCTCTATGTGTCAAGGTGCTATCGGACAATTAATGAGGGAACCGGAGCACCCGGAGAAAACCCGCACGTGCGAGGGGGCAACGCTCTATCCCCGTGCGGATGGAAGCAGATGGAGTTGATGGCATCACTTGGCGTCTATCGCCTTCTCGTGGCGAGCCGGCGGTGTGACGGCAATTTCTCGACGCTCCCCGCGGGAAGGGAGTTTCACAACAACACCATGTGTCTGTGTGTGCGTGTGTGTGATTCACCAACCCCTGCTGCTGCTGCTCCTGCTGCTGCTGCTGCTCCTGCTGCTGCTTCTGCTGCTGCTGCTGGGTTGTGGGCAGCCACGTGCGTGGCCACCTCCGTCCCGCGGCCATCGCCAGTGATTCATTTCATCCGGAACGGTCCGGAACAGTGCGTTCGACGATTTCTTTGGGCAACTGAACATCGGTTCTCACATGTTTAATTATTACGTAAAACAACGTGTTCGTACGATCATAGGGATATCGGGTACGGCAGTATAGGCTTCGTACGGATAGGCAACCATTGCATTTCTAGTGGTAGTGCCTTACACCAATAACCCCTTCTCCAAGCCAGGCAGCTAATCAACAGCGTCCACCCACTAAATGGTTTGTATGGTCTCCACAAGACGTTGTTTGCTCAACATTGAATAAGAGCTCTCTCTCTCTCTATCGCTTGCACCCTGGGCAAAGGTAAAGATCCCCCGTATAGTCTCAACAGACTGCTGGGGCAAGTGCCGCACCTCTGACCAGCACAGTTGGCTGCGTACGGCGCGATGGAAGTTCAACGTGCATACAAGCACGCGTCAACGTGCACCTGCGCAGCTCGGCACGGCCTCCCCTAGGTCAGCTCAGCATTAAATGCGTACCCGAATACGTCAGCATTGTGGACGGTGTGGGGGGGGGGGGGTCAGTGGTGTGGGCCAGGAGTTTACACAGCACAGACCCCCAACGGTCTTCTTGGTTCTTTCCGTAAAGTCACCTAGAAGGGAAATAATAAAATAATAAAAATAAAACAATACAATTCTCACGACGTTTCGATTGCAACACAAGCAATCACCATCAGGTATGAAAACCACTTTAAACCTGATGATGATTGCTTGTGTTGCAATCGAAACGTCGTGAGCATTTTATTGTTTTATTTGTATTATTATTATATTATTTCCCTTCTACGTGACTTTACCGAAAGAACCAAGAATATTAATCCCTGCAGTCACGAAAGCTTTAAATCGAAACCCCAACGGTCTGTTGAGGCTGCCCAGCGAAGGCGAGACCGCTACCGCCAGCCGTGCCAGCAGGCGAGCAATTGCAGGGCTGCCCCTCTACCCTGCCTCGAGCCAATTATTTCGTTTGCACGGTAGGGGTTGGTTAGCGGTGGTGGGTGGCTGTGGGTGGCTGGCTAGGTCGGTTCTTGTTGGGGTGTATCGGATTATAGCGCGCGTTAATATTTCATCAGCCCCAATGGCACGGAGCCCGCGGGTAGTGATCGTGACACTGACTGTTGTGGCGATCGGTGCGGGGTGGGGAGGAGGCGTGCGAGAGGCACAGTGAGCGATGGGGGGGGGGGGGGGGTTGCACGGGAGTTGGGTGTCTGTACGTTGAACTTCCTTCTCACCGTACGTAGCCAAGCCTGCCGATTGGAGGTGCGGGGGAAGGACAACACTACAGACTAAGCGTCCGACAATCTGCCTCTCCTCCCCTCACCATCCCGCGTGATTCATTTCAATCGTGCATATATCCATGTTGAACTTCTTTCGCGCCGTACGTAGCCAACCGCGCTGACCAAAGGTGCGGTTGAGCAGCAACAACAACAATAAATTCGTGCCCCGACTGGGCTATCAAAGTCGTCGTCTCCGCCTCCTTCTTGTCGTACGGCTGCTGATGTAGATGGCAGAGCAACATCCCCCCCCTCCCCCCCGCCGCTCCCGTTACCAGGGGGCGCATTTGTCCAGCAGTGGATTGAGAATGCGGCCGGTGTGCCTCTGGTGCGTCACTTTCTTCTTTGGGAGAGGCGTGGAGGCACCAACACCCCGTGGCGCTGCCTCCGCCGGGATGAACAATCAACTGGAGGTGGTCAAGCGCAGAGCCACCGCGTCCAGGAGTAAGCGGAGCGGTGGTGTTGCTGCGACATCTCCCTTCTTCGCGTCTGTCGATGAGACGCCTTGCGTCGTTGTACGGTCAGCGACGTCCGGACGACTTCGCGTGGCTTGGAAAGTTACCCCCTCACCTCCAGTGCCGGATTAAGCGAGTGCGGGTGTCTGTAGCAGAAATGTTATAAAAGGGCCCTGAATTAAAAAAAAAACACCTAAATATAAAAAACTAATTTTTTACTTGCATAGTAAAGTAATTGTATTTTTTCATTTGCTATACAGACAGATAATACGACAAATCACTAACCTTAACACCCAGTCGTTCATACAAGTTGAAGGCGGTATAGTACTATAGTGATAGAGCAAGTGCAGAATCACTGAACCGGAATTGATAGCTCGAAAGCATTTAGCGCGGGGCGCTTGAAAGTGCGGGACCCGTAGCATTTATAGCTACTTGTGCTACTAGGATATTCCGGCACTACACCCCCCCCCCCCCCCCCAATTTGTTTAGCTTTTGTTTGGTGAACACATTCTATCTCTGCCCTCTCCATCGTGCCTCCGTATGTACGTATGTGTGTGTGTTGAACTTCTTTCGCACCGTACGTAGCCAGCCGTGCTTATCGGAGCTTCGTGTTTCCGCCGCGTACATTAATAATGCGCATTGGGAGTCCTAGGATGGAATGCGCATCATAAATTATAATAATTATTTTTTCGGAAACAATAAATAATGCGGGTTAATTAATATAATAATTCGATATATTTTTTTATGATCGAACTCCCCCCCCCCCACCTCTTCCCGTCTTAGTAGTCACGTAGCGAGATGTCAGTGGATATCCCCATCACTCTCGCGAGCGGTATTAGAGAACGGCCCGCGAAAGTAGATGTCACAGAAGCACAGCCTCCAGTGGCAGATCCAAATAGAGAGGATAGGGGGGCGGTGGGGGACCATTGGGGCGATAGATTTTGTAAGAAATTTATTTTAAAAATATTATCAGGTCACGCTACTGATGTTTACTGCTGGCAATGGTGCACAAGCACAATTAACAAACAAACAACATCTTCAACACGCGTGTCAATTATTCCTTTGAATGATAAACATATTGTGGGTGACGTTTCGAGCCAAATAGCCCCTTCTCTGTAGACTCTACAGGAGCCAGTACAGCAAGTAGGCAGTTTGGTGTGCGACGGGGAAGGGGGCTGATTGCCCGAAACGTCGTCTATTATACATTGCATCCGTTGAAAAGTCACGCAGTGTGAGTTGACGACGAATGCTGAGACGTTCTCATCGACAATAAGCGCGCCGGCAATGCTCATATTTGCCGTGGCCGATCTTGTGTGACCGACTGCGTGGTGTCGCGTACTACGTAGGAGAGGCACGTGACTTCTGTCAATAAATCGATGTTGTTCTCAAATGTTGATTGCGTGTACACGCAGAGTGTGCGTGTCGCGTATACACGCAACGGTCGGTTAGGGATTGAGGAGGTATCACACGCTCCACTCACACCAGCGGGCCGGCACGGGTACCAGGGTCTGGTCACTTCGGCTGACAGCCCCTGCTAAGCCAGTGTTGCAAATTCCACATTCCTATGGCGTGAAGAAGTCTGATCGTGACAGCCAACATCCCCCCCACCCCTCCCCGCTCCCGTTACCGACGCGTGGTTTCGGGAAGCCTTAACCGTCCAGCAGCGGATAGAGAATGCGGCCGGTGCCTTCCGTGCGTCACGCGTTCCTGGGAGGGACGTGCATGCAGGACACCGTGTGCCCTGCCTTCGCTGGGGAGGGAGGAAAATTACAAATTGGTTCCCAAATTTAGGCGATTAGAACGCGCGCGTGGGAGGCGCCCGTTACCGCGGCGACGATTCGCGTGAAGAGCGATGGGCCGAGAGCGGTGGCGCAGTGGTTGGGGGCACCGCGGCAACTTCTCAATTTCCCATTGCAGACCACGGCTGTGATGACAGCGGTGGTGAGTCAAATCTCACCCAGATTGTGGGCCCCCTCCCCACCCCACCCTGCCCCCCCACCCCACCCTCCCATCCCCTGCCCCCCTTTCACAGCGAGACATTTAACACATTGCTGCGGGGGGGGGGGGGGGTCCCACGCCACGTGATGAGAACACTACGACCTTGGATTTAATTCTAGATTTGAAGCTTGATACAGATATTTTGCTGTGACGGTTTCACCTGAAGACGGAAGCTTGTGTTGCCTCCGAAACGTCGTGATTTTTATTCTTTTATTTTTATTAATTTTTATTTCATTTTTTACCTACGTGACTTTACCGAAAAAACGAAGAGTATGAATCCTTGGATTTAATAACAACAAAAAGGAAACACCAAAGACAAAGACGCCCCGTATAGCCTTCAACGTTCTTTTGGGGCAAGTGCTGGTCGCGAGCAGTTCTCCTCAATGGCGGGGCCAGGGTTTTCAGGTAGGGGGTGGGGTAACCCCTCCAGCAATGAGAAATGATAGAGGAGTTGTTAGTAAGTAAGGAGTTGCCCCTTGCTTTTTATTCGACGCGTGTGCGGCGATGGCGCAGCCATCGATCGAGGATCGAATTCGAACCGCGCTGTGTGATCGGCATCGCGCTCGCTGAAGGTGTTGATGCCTTCAGGGAAGTCGTGGGCTGTACACGCAACTGCGCACAATTCTATGAGTCACTTATAACCGCTTTGCCGCTACTTAATGCCAATTATGTTCTCAGACTATTGTCCTATCATCTCATAGAGTCCCTGGCACGTAATAATATAGCTACACAGTGGCAGTGGGGATCGCAAAATGCCGATTTATTACTAATAAACCCCAATGACCCGATCGAAATTAGGGATTTCGATCGTGCCCCCCCCCCCCCCCCCAGCCAGTGGTTCTCCTACAAAATCTGGCAACGACACACGAAGGGGTGATGTGGACAGAACCACGCCCGGCCGCCTTTGTCACCCCTCTCCTCCCCCCCCCAGTGCTGATATATTACGCACACCGCTTTAGGTGCCGATTCGCGGCTGAGTTCACCCGAGGGTAAGCTCCAGGACTGGTTGAGACGTTCCTCACTCGATGGTGACCGCGTGCGGGAATCGAACCCGGGGATTTGATGACGTTTCCCGCGTACATTTGAAATGTGTTCCTGCACGGTATCCATGCCGCAGCCTGCCCCTCCCTTCCTCCCCTCCCTCCCCTCCCTCCCTCTCCTCCCTATCCGCCCTCCCCTATCCTCCCTCCCCTACCTCCCTCCCCTCCCTACCTCCCTCCCCTCCCTCCCTGACCCTCCCCTCTCTCCCCTCCCTCCCCTCCATCCCCTCCCTCCCCTCCATCCCCTCCCTCACCTCCCCTCCCTCCCCTCCATCCCCTCCCTCACCTCCCCTCCCTCCCTACTCCAAACCGCTGCGTTCCAAGTAACAGGGCGAAACGAGAGACGCGGTAGTCAAAAGTTTTGTACGTTTTTTTTTATTGAGATGCTAATTTTCGATTATTCTTTGATGTCCACATAAGGCCACTTTTTTGTTGTTGTTGTTGTTTGCTCCGCAAGCAAACGACGAAACGGACTTCGTCGGTTAACACAAAGCGAGCGGTCACGCGAAAATCACAACCACGGAGGGCAACGTTGAGCGGACCGTCACCACGCGTCGAGTTGCAACGCCAACGTTTGCGTCGTCACGTCCCCTCCTCCACCCGACGCAGGTAACGTACGTGAACGAATGAATGAGTAACGTGGTCACGTGAACGAACGAAACGTGCGCCCGGGCGAACGACACGCGTGCTATTCATGAATACATAAGATTGGTCGTGAAAGCCGACACGTCCTCGAAGCATCAATCTCTCTCTCGCTGGCGGTGGTCGTGGTTCTCGTTACTACCAACTTCGACTGTTCACCCACTTGAGTCTCAACGCTCTTTTTCAGGAGGGTCCTGCCGTGATGTTTCGCTAGTAGGGGGAGCCGATGCTGCTGCTGCTGCTGC